CGGTCTTCAACTGACGGTTAAAACGGGCTGAAACTGGAGACCGAAGACCGGTCTTGTAACAAATCATGCCGATTGTTAATCTAGTGACTGGAAGTTTAAACGTTAAAAATTTTTATTCTCGTCCGATACACTAATTATTAAGAATGTAAGTCATCAAAAAATAAGTTGATAAAAAATGTTGCCAACTAGAATACCTTTTTGCTATATGCTTTTCGTTTCTTTAGTTGACCGTAAACAATAGTAGAACCCAGAATGATGCGTCACCATCATAATACACCAAAAATTTTGTTTTTTACAGAATCATCATCTTAAGATAAAAAAAAACGCAATATCATAAATCTAACAACAATATGAAACCTCAAAACTTTTACATTCTTACCGCTATTTTCATGTTTTCTACATGATATTTGTTCCGGTCATTGAAGGTAAAATTCTTATACATATTCGGTATTTTCTCCATTCCTTTTTCTAATAATTCGACATTTTTGTTTGATATATAGCATATGATACCAGCGTAAAGTTAGATTTGGATGCTGGTGCTTGTAAAATTTGGATAGAAGATTCAACTGGTGACGGAAAAGATTACCATGCTTGTGATATAAAAAAATTGATTTCCAGATTAAGAATACTATGTAGTTGCGAAAGTTAATTTTGATAAACAGGAAGTCCGAGGTCCTTACAATAATGTCAATACCTGTTTTCGTATATATGTAAGTATTGATTTTTTAAATTTATTTCTCTAGTTTCTATTATTTCTATATATTCTTGTTTATTATACTTACTGTATATTATCTCTCTTAGTTAAATTATTTTTCATAAGTATCTTGTAAGTTGATTTATGTTCTCCCAAAATGTTGGTTTATTTCACAGCGTTACTTGGAAGAATTAAAAGAATTCAAAAAGAATTCATGAATATTTTTTATGCCGCGATAAATTTTCAAACTTTGTTACTATCCCAAAATTACCACGTAATTTTTAGAACGTAATTATGTTCATCAAGCAAATGCTAGTATATTAATAACAAGAGAACGAAATGATGCACGAATTCAGTCTACTGATGCTCTTGCTCAGTATGATCTTGTTTTTGGTCAACTTGGGCAGGCCAATGCACAGCTTGCACATGTTAATGCGCAGCTTGTTAAATTAGGTTACGGCATAATTTAACATCCATTTTCCCAAAATAACCTTTCCCGACAATGATTTCCCAACAGGACATATTCCCAAATAAACATTTTCCCGAAAGCACTTTTTTCAAGATGATATATCCTGACGAAACGTATCCCGAAAGACATTATCCCGACATGACATTTTCCCGAGTTGGGTATATATAATACATTATATCGCAAATTTTTAAATTTTTAATTAGTTTATTGATAATAAAATCAGTATTGTTTTACCATAACTATACAAATAATGTTTTACAAATAGATATACGAAATAAATTGAGAAAAATAATCTTTTATAGTAAATATGTTTCCTCTCGCTTGTTTAGTTTGAGTGTTTGAATTATGCTATATATAAAGAAAAGCATTAGAAATATTTTAAATATTAGGTGTTGTTTTAAACAAATAAATACAATGCAAATTTTAATATAAATATAAATTAAATTTTTCATTGATTTATTTATTATTATATAAAAAAAATTAAGTATTTTATTTTTATTTTCATTTTTTCACAGCAGAATCAATCATTTTTCGTAAACCAATTTCGGAAAAAAATGCTCGGGAAACGGTACGTAAGCACTCATCATACAAATTAGACTAGTCTTTCAACCGATCACAATACCGTAATTGTCATCCACTTTGCAATTTGTTATATACAGTACTACCTACGGTACTTAATTCATATTACAACAATTTCTTTGAAATTTTCAGAAAAACACGCTTTATTATGATCTATTTTGCGTTACCTTGGTTCCTTTACTTAGCTACCTACTTCGGCTACTTTCCTAGTATATATACAATAATACACATATTTGCGAAATTAATTTAAAGAAACTTGATGACGGTAAATACTGTACCTTTTGGTGTTAATGACTTCACTATAAATATAAAATGACCCTTAAGGCACGTAAATATTTATATATAATTATACCCATATTTTTATTAGCCATTTTTGCAATTCCAGTTTTTCATATTTATCATTTTATCAATGAAAGATTGAAAAAACGTTCACATTCTCATTCACAGAGAACATTAGATAAACTTGTCAATGAACTGACAAAGTTGGCTGGCTTTAATGATGAGTTGATATTTGATTTCGCTTTAGATAATAAAGTTAATAAAGATAATAAAGGAAAGTATTTCCGTTTGTATAAAACTATAATTAATGCTAAATAATCAATATCAAAGATATATACTGACCATCATTATTTTCATCTACATTTATTTGTTCAATTATTCCTCAGGGGATGTAATCATTACAGTATTACATTCTAAGTGACAGGACGGGTTTACCACAAATTCCCGACAACCATGATATCGACAGTCTACAATTCCGACATCAAAAATCCCGATAAACCCAAATCCCGGTTGAAACAAAATCCCGATAGTCACAAATCCTGACAGTTAAAATTCTTGACGGTCAAAATCCCAAAGTTTTTTTTTTTTAAAAAAAAAACCCTATAAAAACGAAATGTGTTAAATTTGTTGTTCATGTGTAATAAGTGTCTAAAAAAGCACCATTTTGTTTAATTTTCGTTTTTTTGTAATAAGACATAAATCGG